TTTTTTTTTTTTTTTCTACTAATCATTTCTTTTCACGCCTTCTTTTTTTTACAGTCATCAAATTCGTTATTCTGTGACGAAAGTTGATGGATTGGCAATAAGATGGGGAATCGAAAAAAAGAAAGAGAAAGAAAAAGACGACAAAAGGGGAAAAACAAAGACACACCAAGAGAGTTCATGCTGGGTGTCGAACTTCTCTTCTCTGATCCAGAGTAGCCAGTGAGCGCCGGGCCAGTTTCCCCGGAGGACACTCGATTGGTCTGTTGCTATTTTGGATTTGAAACAACCATCCGTGTCTTTTCATAGTAAGTATCCGCGCATAAGGCTTCGAGTTAAAAGCTAGGAGGGGGTTGTCACTGTCGCAATCCCAACTCCAGACCGTCAGTCGAAGCATCTGGGTCGAGACCGGATAAGAAGATCTCAAGGAATACGGCAAATCTTCAGGACGCTTCGAAGGCGTGGCACAGGGAGAGTGTGAGAGGAAGAGAAACAAACATCAAGAAGGATGAGAAGGGTCACAACCGACTAAGCACAACGATGGATTAGCTTGTCCCATCCGTGCCCCGCCGTCTAAGCCCTACGCAAGATTTTAATTTTTAAACTCGAAGGAGACTCCGACACCCGCATGACGATGACGATGAATGATATGGCCCGTATTCCTCTTACGCGGTTGCTTCCCGTGCGACGGGGAAGCCGCCGGTCAGTACAGAAGCCTATACAAAGCACCAGGCGCCTGGGCAGAAAGGGGGCCATGTATCCCTCCCATACGGAACCTCCCCAAAACACTCGGGTGGCCGTATGTAATGACCGATACAGCTAGGACTATGTATGGAAAAAGAGTCGAGAATTAATATGGGCGTTCATCCCTGCCCTACCCTGCCCCCCGGTCCATTTCCCCCTGTCCATGCACGCAGGCCAAGTGGATGCTCTTCTCACGTATACCCATCTCAGTGGAAGCGTCCCGTTCGTGGGTAAGCTACATAGCGGTACCTGATGGTGATATTGAGTTCCCTGGGCTGGCTCGTCTTTCCATCCATATAATTCCAATATCGTTGCCCTGAGCCCTTTTATATAATTGATGCTCTGCCTCTTTTCTCCTCCACCTTTTTTCCTTCTTCCACCCATCTTCTCGGACTTGTTAGGCCCATCTATATAACTCCTAGCCGCCTACGCCCTACATTCTCTTCTACCCTTTTCGACAGACGCCTCCTTTCACTTCCCCCACTCCCTCTCTCGATCCCATACTCATACTACTCATCGTATCTGAGCCCGTCCAGGCCTGTGCTCGAAAACTTGCCAGAATTTGAAGGACGAACGACTTGATCATAACATGTGCTCCTAGGGAGAAGAGCTTCCAGCTCCACAGCACTCTGATCTTCACATCAACTAGCAGAACGATCCAATATCTGACCGATCAGTCATAAAAATACGACCCAGTTCGTCTTCTCGCCCTTGTTTCCAGTCCACTGCTCAGGCTGCCACCTGAGCAAGCCTATTGGTCGCCGCATTGCATCCTCCCAATTTTCGGATCGGCTCTTCGTGGTTCGTCTCTTTCTCTTCCATCCATACTTTGACCTCTCTCTTTTCTTTCCTTCTCCCCTTGCCAGTTGTCCTCTGCCTCCCTGCGTTCCGCTGCCCATCCTTCTTCCCTAGCGGCCTATTTCCATCGGCCTGGATGCGTCTGCTGCGAATGGCCATGGCAGCTGTTTAAAAGGGCTGCCCTTTGCCACCCTTCTTGGTGCCCGTAAACAGCGGTGCGGCCCGCCCATCGATCACTCTCCCTGTTGCCCTGAACCCAAGCTTGGCGACATAACTACTTGACATCTCCTGTTGTTCTGTACACATCGATCGCTTGCTCTACCAATTTCCCTCTTTCCTCTGCCTTATATGTTCTTTTTCCTCTCCCATTCTCCCTTTTTCTTTTTCTTTCTCGTCTCGTTGGTCGTCCTCCAGTTGCCAGACAGAAGAAGAAGCGAAAACAGAAATCATCTCCGCCTATCCCCCATGTGCTGACCTCGGCTTCCTCCAATTAGATCCAGCCCATCTTTGTCTGCCTAGAATCCTATTTTTTTTTTTACCGCGGACATAGGGAAGATCAAGGAGATAAACGCTCACGGACTCACAACCTCTTTCATTGTGGTTCCTTTTCCTCCTTTCGCTGTGCCTCTACTTTGCACTACTCTCTTTCTTTTCCCTACCACTCCTTGACCGAGCGTAAAGAGCAAGCTCTCCGTCATGCTCGCTTTGGAGCGCCCTGCTCGCGAGCAATCTTATCTCCAACAACTCCCCATGGATTCGTCTGCCTTTAGCAGCCCGCTAGACTCCCTTGACCCGCAGCAACAAGCGCTCTTTGGGGCATACAACAATAGCAGCAGTCTTTCATGCGATCCTTATCCATTAATGCTCCAGCAACCCTTGGCTCTGGATTCTCCGCTACTTTACCCTGCCAAAAGTGAATTAAGGCTGGCGCCAAAGCCCTCCAGCTCGCCACAGTTTCTACCGCTCTCCCAGCCCGGCGATCGGTACTCTTCGATCAGTTCCTCGGCTTCTACCCACTCTCTTCCCAGCGCAACAAATTCATCAATAGGTTCCCCTTATCAAGACCAGTGGCTTGACCTCGACGTCTCCGTCGGTGCGGAGCAAGTAGCCATGGTTGGTGAAGGGTATCCAAATGACTTCCTGTCTAATAGCATCGACCCTGAGATGCTATATGCGAGCGAAAAGTTTTCCACTCCTTATGTGGGTAAGTACTTTCTAGACCTCGTTTTCTCTCTCTCAACTCTTCTTTTCTTCCATTCTTCCTCTTTTATATCCTATAAATCTTGTGCCTGTTGGTCGAGCGATATAACTTAGTATATCCCCCAATCATTCGCAAGATTTATGTTTTATCTTTCATCTATCCTGTGTCTTCAGCCTGCCGTCATCATTCGACGCAAATGGCGGTATTGCGGACAAAGATAGATCTACGGAAACATACGCTTTAGTTTCCTGAGACAATAACACTGCTAGTACCCATTAATGCTTGGCATGTTCATTGTCTCTCTTTCTCAACATGCCCTTTTAGTTGTTTTCTCTTCCTCCATCAACGTCTGGTCATCATGGGCCTTTGCAGATATACGGCTGGACCGCCGTGTTGGCGTTGAAGACAAAGAACTGATGGTGTTTAAATAGATCCTGCATTGTTACAGCCAATGCAACAGAGTAGCAACTTTTCGGGAGTAGCCGTGTCGTACGCAGAGGAATCACCATACCCCTTCATCTCTTCACCCGCCTTCGCTCCTCTCTCACCACACTCTCCTCTTAACATTTCTCATACCCCTCAGCAACAGCAACGGCCCCAGGGAGTGTCCGGACCCCAGAAGCAGGAGAAGCTCGATGTGAACCCCTCTTTTGTGCAGCAAAATACCTTTTCGACACCTAGACCGTTCCAGGGGCGCAGGTCGTCCATCTCCTCTATTCATTCCCGCCCATCTGCCCGCACCTCTCCAACTAGAAATGAAGCCGAGGAAGAAAATGAGAAAGGAAGATGTCCCCACCCAGACTGCGGTCGCGTCTTCAGAGACCTCAAGGCACATATGCTCACTCACCAATCGGAACGTCCCGAAAAGTGTCCCATTGTGACATGCGAATACCATCTGAAAGGATTCGCAAGAAAATATGATAAAAATCGTCATACATTGACACATTACAAAGGGACCATGGTTTGCGGTTTTTGCCCTGGATCAGGATCCGCTGCGGAGAAAAGTTTTAACCGCGCGGACGTATTTAAACGCCATCTCACGACAGTACACGGCGTTGACCAATCTGCTCCCAACGGCAAGAAGAAAACTCCTCCATCTGTTCCCAGTGGGAAGCTGTCCAGCTACTGCCAGGATGCCACCGGAAAATGTTCCACATGTACCGCGACGTTTTCCAATGCCCAGGAGTTCTACGAACACCTTGACGACTGTGTCCTGAGAGTAGTACAGCAGGAGGAACCCTCGGAGGCCATCAACTCCCGAAGGTTGACCGAAGTCGCTTCCGACGAGGCCGTCCGTGATACCATGGAGCGACACATGCTGTTCGAGTCGAACGCTACGCAAATCGAAGATGGCGATGAAATCGAAGATGCTACGGACAGACAAAACGACTCATCCAACTCTTCTGTGAAGGGCTCGCTCTCTAAATCTAACTCCACCAACAGCAAGGTGACCAAGAATCGTGTTGCCACCTCAAGGCGCCGAAACAACCGAAACAACTATCCTCCTTCATGGAGCTGTCCCAACAGCAAGATGAAGATGAAGCGACGTCTCCTTTGCCTTTATGACGGCCCTCGTCGCCTATGGAAGGATGAGATGATGCTTGACAATGAGTTTGAAGTCCGGCTTAAGCTCCCTGCCGGCGACTGCATGGGTCGAGAAGCCTACGTTACTGATTTGGACATCGAAACCCTGAAGCGATCAGAGGGCGTCCTTAATGCCACCGAGGAAGAAAAGGGCCCATGGATCAAGGACCCCAACGCCACTGAAGGTCTCATTGGACCAACAGCAGTCCCAGTCATCGAGCATCCCATGAAACTGGGCGATGAACTCAACATCGATGATCTTATAGGATAGAAGATTCGCTGCAAGGATCATTCCAAGAGTTAAAAAAGTACATCCCACTTCACAATAACCCCTCAAAATTCAATTGATACCCCAGCTTTCTCCCGATCTGTCCCATGGATCCTAAACTCATTTCCTTACATACCGCATAATTCTACTCTCCACCCCAACCCCTTCTTATTACCAAACTCACCTTGGCATATTTTTTCACATTTCAATCGGCTGGAGCGAAAAAAGCTCCTTGTCCCCTAATCGGTTTACGATTACCGTTCGTCACGTACAACTTTTTAACTCATGACAGCGCATTATCTTACTATTCCATTGTCACCACCATTTATTTCCTTTATGTGCATTTTCAAGGGTCGCCTGTCATTTGGTATATTTGTTCTTGCCGTTTTTACCCATACTTGACATAGCTGGCGCCTTGTGTCTCCTAAATTCTTTTGTGGCTGTTTCTAATTTTTTGGCTGGGTTCCAATGGGAAAGGGGGAAAAAGAATTGGGAATCAAAAGACGGGATAATGGTATATAATTGACTTATGACCATAAATGAAAATGCATATCAACACTAAATTTTATCCTCCATCTGCTTGTAAACGACATTATTTCCTTTAACCAAAAAGCACAATAGGCACCTGCACCTGGGCAGCTATATGTTCATGTGACCGGGTTATTTGTATAGAGTGCTCTCGTTACATAATCAAGTAGCCTTATTTTGATCTCCCGAGCTTCCTTTTGGCCGTCAAAGATCAAACAACACCAGGACATGACATCACGATTCACGACGGTTAAGGGAACGATTCACGAGCTCTACTTGCATTGCTATCAGACCTGTACGTTTAGTCTTTATTAGAGAAGTTCCCTCTCCCAAACATCTCTGCCACTTGCTCTCCCTGCCTTCTAACCATCTACCAGCAAGTCAGGGTGCTAACTGAGTACAGAATTTGAATTAGAAACCAATACACGGGAACGAAAGAGGTATAAACATAATCAAGCTCTTGAATTCATGCTGTTAGGACGCAGAGCTTAAGCCAGGGCCCTAGCTGCGCTGTTGTTCTTTTTTCTAAGCCCACCGTCACCCCGCCCTCCATAAGCTACTCTACCTCAATACAACACACAATCAAGGCATAGATACAGCTCCGACACAACCATGGAGTCGTCATCACAAGCCTGGGCCGGCAATGGCGCGAGTAGCTCAGCGATGGATATAGAGCCCGCAGGGGAACACCAAGGCCGAAGCCTAACAACACCACATATCATTGTTGACGGTATGCTTGCCGAAATTCATAGATTGCCGAGCTGGTAAAGCACTCTCTAACCAAGCTATAGAGCCACCTAAGTTTGATCTCGAAACATACATATCAAATTACACCGGTACGATATTCCGTTCCTGAAATGACGCGGTCTATACGTGAAACTAATCCCCCCGGCTGGTGCTCATTCTACTAGGGAGGACAAAATTTGCTAGATTATACCTTATCGGAACCTGTTCCAGTTTTCTTGCTGTCGAAGCTTTAAAGATGGCAGTTGCTGAAGCAAAGTCAGGGATGGACGTTAACTGTTATGAAACTGCGGTTGAGGCGCTCAGCCAAATTGCCCCGTCTGACAGCGAGGCTGTATTGGACACCGAATGGATCAACAATACTACAAAAGTCGTCAAGGCCGATACGAACAGACTGGAACGTGAGTTGAAAGGATATAAAAACAACTTGATCAAGGAGAGCATACGAGTAGGCTCCCCAACATTCGCCTTATCCCCTTTCATGATTTCCTCGTTTTCTGTATCTGACGTTCTATAGATGGGGAATGAGGATCTTGGTATGCATTACCATCGCATAGGTGATCTGGCTTCCGCCTCCCATGCATTTTCAAGAATGCGGGACTACTGCACTACTACGTCTCATATTGCTTCGATGCTCTTTAAAAACATTGTTGTTGCCATTGATCGCTCGGATTGGCTAGCCCTCCAGGCAAATGTTCATCGCTTGCGCAGTCTTCAGTTTAAACCGGAAGATGAACCAAAGTGTAAAGCTAAGCTCTTTGCATCACACGGCCTAGCACAACTCGCAGCAAGTTCGTACCATGAAGCTGCAATAACTTTCTTATCAACCGACCCAGCCCTTGGTGATAATTACAAGGAGGTCATCTCACCAAACGATGTGGCAGTTTATGGTGGTCTCTGTGCTTTGGCATCCATGAGCCGAACTGATCTTGCGAAAAATGTTCTCGAAAACAAGTCGTTTCGAAATTTCCTTGAACTAGAACCCCATATCCGCCAAGCCATTTCATTCTTTTGCGCATCAAAGTTTCGGCTTTGCCTGGATATCCTAGAGGCTTACAAAGCCGACTACCTTCTTGATTTGCACCTGCAGAGACATGTCCGGACGCTGTACAGGCGCATCAGGACGAAAGCCATACAGCAACATATCATACCCTATAGCCGTGTCACGCTCGATGGCATGGCCAAGGTATTTGCCCCTAAGGAACAAATCAGAGATGAGCAGGGGCAACTCAACCCAAATGGCGCATTTGTGTCTGAGTTGATTGGACTTATCCAGAGTGAAATCCTCGATGCTAGAATAGATCTTGAAAAAGGAGTAATTGTTACCAGCAAACCACCTGCGAGAGAGCAGCTACATGAAGAAGCGCTGGACAGTATGAGAGAGTACCTGGAAAATGCGCATCTGCAAATACTGCGTATCAATGTGCTGAACGCCAAGTTGGAGGTTCCGGGGGCTCAGGCATATGGTAGCAGAGCTGAAGCCGAGGCCATGGCAGCTCAAGGGGCCAGTCTCGATGATCAGGGACAACGATTTAGTCGGAAGGGTCTTGCAGCGAAGTTAGGGTCTGCATTTGGTGATAGTTAAAATGATAATGCAGCTAACCTTTAGATACAGCATATTTGCAAATGGTAGTTATTACCTCTCTACCCTGTAGAAAGCATATTCCTTCTTGAAACTGCCATGTCATCAAGGCTTTTTTAAATCTTCGCCTTTTCTGCAGGTCTGATCTTCACATCATCAAACGGGACGCCCAAAAATTCCCACATGAAATGGAACCTGTCACTTCCAAAGAATGGCTCCTCTCTCCCAGTTTCAGCATGCCGGACCCAGAACCATGGTGCACCAAATGCACCCCTATCTAATGCTTCCTGGGTTCTGTCGGTCAGCGCCTTTTTAATTTCGTCTGTCTTTGCAGATGCAAGGATACGATCGATTTCCCGTTTTGAGAAGTTCGCCTCCTCCAGCAGTTCGGCCATACCCTCCGGTTTGCTCAGATCGATATGTTTGTAAAACATATATTTCCAATACAGCAGGAATGTATTTTCAAACCGATCCCGCGGATAGTTCTGTTTGATATATGTCGCGCATCTCTGAGGCTGTTCAGAAGACGGTTAGATTGCCTATAATGCATGCTTTATATGTGTAGGAACCGCACCAGAATGGTTAGAGGAGGGAAAAAGGGCGGGACTTTGAAATCATCGACTCCGAAGTATTTCCCTGCTCGCACTCGGTCGAACTGCCCATACGCTGCCTTGGCTGGGAGAGACCATGGTGGCTTGTTGCCTGCAGTGCAAGTAGAGATTAGAATACCACTTTCAGTGACGGGGTATAGTTTCATAATCATCTGTTCCACATTCCATACCCGAGCCGGCATTTATTCCACCAAGGAATACAGGGTGGACACTATTTTCATATCAGGCTGGTACCCTCATTTCAGCTGGATAGGGGCAAGCTTACTCAATCTCGACTCCATGAGACTCCAAGATATCACGGTTTCTTAGAAGGTGAAGAAACGCGTAATACGAATATGGAGAGGCTATTGACTGCCATTAGCTATGTAACTGGAGATCCTCTTGGAGTGAAGCTATACTAGAGGTAGGTAGGTCATGGCTTACGGCAGTCAAGGTATGCTTCAATCTTGCCTCCCATTTTCACTCGAATTCCATAGAGGTTAGGAAAACTGTACAGACAAGAAACAAAAGGCCGGCAGGATGCAATAGTAAAGGGTAGAGCTCCCCCAGATATCTGACACCTAGCTGGCGAGCGTGAAGGATGTTTTGCTTGCTCTATCGTAACTGGTTATCTTGACGTCGAGAGATGCCGAGGTTCGGCAATAAACGACGATTAGCCGGCGTCAAGACAGCCACCTCGACCCAAGACAGATTCACGCCCATAAAACATCATACATCTCTTTTACAACGGGTTCCATCATACCAATATCCCTCAACTGAAGTATCTGGAAGTGGATACTATAATAACCGTTTTCAAAGGATACCTGTCATGGGAAAATCTAAACCAGTAGCACTTGTTATCGGTGCTTCCAGGGGGATTGGAAGACAGGTAGCAATCGACCTGGCAAAGGAAGGATATGCCGGTGTGTTTCTACACATTAATACTCAAGCATCTGACCTATATGACTGAGAATGTACGCAGTTGTCGTTGCGGCAAAAACAACGTCCGATGCCTCCAAGACTGTGCCATTTCCGCCAGACCCAAACTCACCCCAATCTACGATCAACACGGTTGCTCGGGAGATAAATGAATTAGGGGGTGAAGCAGTTGCACTGCCAGTTGATACCCGAGACGTTGAGGCTGTCAAGGAACTAGTTAAAAAGACTGCTGAAGAGCTATATGGAAGGCTAGACGTTCTAGTGTATAATTCCGGCGCAATATGGTGGTCTTCCATTGAGAACACGCCTGTCAAACGCTTTATGCTTATGCAACAAGTTAACCCTGAAGGGCTATACGCTAGTGTTCATGCATCTCTCCCTTACTTTGAAAAAAATGGCTGGAAAGGTAGGATCATAGTTGTCTCTCCGCCGATCTATTCACGGTTCTTCAGGGGGAAGACAGCTTACGCTATGGGTAAGTTTACCCCCAATTCGGCTATTGTGCCTATATAAAGCTACTAATTCAATATCCTATTGGTAGGCAAGGTGGGAATGAGTGTCCTGACCAAGGGCCTCGCTATGGATTTCATTCGGCAAAAGAGGGATGGTATGGCAATTACAAGTATTTGGCCAGCTGCTGTAAGTATCGACAACTTTCTCCTAGGAGTCTCTGTGTCTGATAACAAGGATATATAGTCTATCGAATCTGCTGCAACACAGCAATCGACTAATATGGACCCTTCGTTTTTGAAAGATCTTCGAAAACCGGTGAGATTCTTCCAATCTTGATACCTCCCAAAGAAGCATCCACTCCAGGAAGGTTAATTGAATGCTCTAGACAATATTTTCTGATGCCATCCTCGCCATTTTAAAATCACCACCTTCTGTCGTTAATGGGCTTCTGGCCTTAGATGAGGACTTCTTACGTGAACATGGCGGTGTCACTGATTTCAGCCCCTATTCGGTTGTCCCAGGTGCTAGTCCGCGGCGTATCATGCCCCAGAGTCTCCCCGTCCTAGAAGTTGCGGAACAAGATGATGAAGGGAAGCGAATGGATTCTACAGTGTTGAGAAGCAAGGGTAAAGCCAGCTCAAAGATATAATAATGCCTTCGGCCTTCTCTGCGTAGCGTTTGAGGTTCGCTATTATACCAATGCGTAGACCTCGGAAAGAAAACTTCAAAGGCTAGAAAACACCCATGTTCCGTTGCTCTTGCTATTCTCTTGGTCACTATTCATGTGTTGGTAGGTATGGCATCTAGCTCTATGTCATTGCCACTCTCAGTTTCAAAACTTGCATAGTAGAAGGCCAGTGTATGCCACAGTTGATCACTCAAAAGACCTAGAAAACATACATCAGCTACCGAGCGGAGTTTGACCGTGGTAAGGGGAACATACATATAAGAAGTGCCAGAGCTACTGTGAAGAGGATGATCGGATTCGTCATGTACTTATAAGCCAGGTCAAAATTCGACACTAAGGCTATGATACTCAGCAATGAAAATCCTGCCACCACTCGTGTTCCCGTGGCGCCTAGTCGAAACACTCTCTTGGTGGGATCGTGGTTGACCAAGAAGATGAATGCCGCAAATATAAACATGGCGAGAGCAGCCACGATGAAATAATATAGGAATACAAAGCCGAACATCCTAAGATACATTGTTAATAGATGCTCGCTTCTTTTTGCCGTTGTGTGGCCGTCTGGCGGAGTGATTCCCATGCTGGAGAAGAGCGCCACGGTAACATTTCCCATGATATCATGAGACCTCTCAATATTTAAAGCACCACTCTCCACCTCTGAAGGGCAGAGGCGGGACTGACGCCTGAGGTCCCACAGGAGGCCCTGAATTGCATATTTTTCCTCCATTGCTCCATGTGTGAAATCGATTCCAAAGCTTGCAATTGTTCTGTTAATGGAATCAATCGCATCCGAGGTAGTAGGCCTTGTAATATCACAAGCGGACAAGATAGTATCGCGCAAACGTTTAAGTTTAAGCGACACATCCAAGGTCAATGCTAGAATTTGCATGCCCTCAGACAGAAGAATCAGGAGTGCATGCAATGGGAAATGCAAGCATGTCCACATTTTTTGTCGAAGCTTTCCCAGCTTTTCCGTAGGTGTGATATCGAAATAAGACTGCCATAAGAGGTACTATATTTATCTATTAGCTCCTTTACCCAAATATAAGCAACTAGTATTGGTCAGAGGTGGACACGTACCACAGAAATTGTGACCCCAAATATATGGACAAAAGACCAGCGAGTCCAGCCATTACCCACAGTCCTATTGACGATCCTGGTGACTGATATAATACCATCACCGATGATAATAAGTGTGAGGAGGCCCATACGAACGTTAAGATGTGTGTCCTCAAAGCCAATACCTGGCAATTCGTCCGCTTTTACCATCACTACGAAAGTTTCAGCAGCAAACTGAAACCACCATAAAATCCAAATTTGTGAACCAATAGAAGCCGCCCGGTCATTGAAGAGGAAGTATACCTGTGATTTTTTCATGTTAAAATTCAAAATGATATGGTATCTATGAACTGGAAAGGCTTACCGCAATGTATATCAAACTGTCCAAAAACATAAATAAAGTGACACAGCGTAAATTAAACGCTGTATTGGGAGGTAGGTATACGGAGGCAATGAGATACTCCAGCGTTAACATCAAACGGCTTATGGCAAGAAGTATCGTCAGGGAATGGAATATCCACAGATTCCCTGGTAGAACTCGAGTTGCAAAGCCAGAGCCGGCAGAAGCAAACCCTACCATGGTTGCCAGCTGCACTGCTTTGCATACCCGTTCGAAGACAGAGTCTCGAGCGAAACGAATATCAAATAGAGTGACCTGGAGCCAGGTGAACCAGATTATCCCCAAAAAGCAGACGTACGACCACAGTGCTACACGCTTTATTAGTTGTTTACGTTCTAACACACTGTTAAGACGGTAGCTACAAGCACACACCTTCTAATGAGTTTATGTCATTTGAAGCGGTAAATGTTGAGAGGTTTGCCACAAAAAAGAGATCAAAAAATAGCTCTATTGGTGTAGCATCTGCCTGTCGGTATAGACGCGGGGGATTATCAGTCTTATCGAGAGGAGATTCAATCAAGGGTATACGGTAAGGAATATATCTAGAACAACATAACTATTAATCCCAGATCAGATAATACGTAGCATGTATTTACAGCTCATACCGGTCAAATTTCGATCGTCTCACTGCAGGACGTGAATGCCTGAATGAAAGGAATAACTGGCGTGCCATATTCCCCTCGAGTCTGGATCTATCCGTTTAGATAGCACAACGCTGCAGTCTTAGTATCCTTGAGGTGAGGTAAGGCTTCTATCATGGAAGTTCGCGCGGCGGTAATGTAGCTTCCTTTCCATTGATAGTTTGGAGCATAGGAAGGCATGACACAACCATACTCGTTGCTTTTGATTAGACCGTAAATACGGTTGCTTTTGTATTTTTCCTGCGGCGTTTGTCGTCTTTTTAGCCCTCTTCATCCATTTCGGTATCCGGTGCTGGTAGCGACATGGTCGCGAGGTTATCAAGTCCACGGTCAGCTCCCACTTCATTTCCTGTGATAAGCTTCTCCGTAGTGGCAGTTTGACCGGCCTCCGCCCGGAGTTTTTCATACTTCTCGCCAGCTTCTTTCAAAAGATTTTGGATTTCCGTCTCTCTCTCCGATATCTCGACTTTTTCCTTGCGAAGCTCTTCCAAACGATTGACAAGTTGCGTTTTATTGTTTTCCATTTCGACCACATTCATTCGCAAGCCAGCCAATTTCGATGCAAGCGTCGGAAGAGATGTTATTTTGGGTGGCGTCTTTGGGCGCGTTACAGGTTCGTCAGCGTCCCTCTTTAAACCATCCATTCCTGCACGAGTTTGTGCAGATTCATATGCCGCCCGGCGTTCGGTTTCAGAGTCATCCTCGTCCGAGAGATCTTCGGCATCATTGATGAGCTCTTTCATATTTGCACGTTGCCGCCGTTTTTGCTCAATCTCTGCCCGTTTGCCCATTGCTATCCGGCCGTCCTCAACGTACTCATCAAAGCCCTCCGCAAAATCCTCGTCGTCTCGCACTAACCTTGTGTCGGTTTCAAGTGGTTTCTTTGAGAGTGACCACTCATCCTCATCTTCCTCTATGCCGGTATCATTAAGAGATATATACTCTTGCTCCTTAGCCAGGCGACTGCGCCGCTCCTTTTTCTCCCTGATTTCTGCCTCACTAGGAATGGCAGAGGGTCTGGTGTATTTCGCCACTTCTCCAAATTTGCCGGCTATATCCAAGGCTTTGTCTTTTTCATCTTCAGTGTCTGGGCGAGACACGTTCTTTGGCGTGGAGGGCGTAGAATTTCGTAATTCCTGGAGATAGTCCTTGCTGTAGCTTGGTCGGTCATCATCTCGGCCAACCCGGACAGGAAGTGTCTCCGATGAGTTCAGGTGTTTTCGGTTCGATGCTCTATCCAAAACATTTCGCCTTATTCCCGTCTTCTTAGGAATGACAACCTCTCCTTCGTCCGAAACATCGTCGGTCATAGAAGTTCCGCCGACCCCAAATGAAAGGTTTAATTTCGACTTCCGCTTTGATTTTGAGGCCGGTTTCCGAACAGCGGGTTCTGCATCCTTGGTTAATTCATCAATACCGACCGTGATAGTTGGGGTATATAGAGAGCTCACCTTGCTCAACCGCTCCGTCTGTATCTTCATCGTCCGCACCGACCCGCCGGGCCTTGCGCCGACTTGCAAACGAGGAGCTCATACTAACACAAAACGTAGTAGAATCTCCTTCAATTTTCAACACTTCCGCCCAATAGCAAGTACTTACTGTATGAAGAGTCTCAAAGTCAAGGTCGGTCTTGGGACTTTGGAGCTCGAGGTACAGCCCGAAATCCATATCACGGGACCATGTTATTCCGATCCCGAGCAGCTTATCGCGTTCCAATTGCACGAGAAAACATTCATTCAACCCTCGATTATCCAGACGAGAAGAGCTCTGTAGCTAGTTGACCAAGCATAGATCTCAGTCAAGATGCCTCAAGCCCAGCCAGAATTGAAAAAGGTATGTTCACGGGTGTGATCTTCTCCCGCATACGTTGCTAATCCGTACCTTGCGTAATAGTATATGGAGAAGCGGTTGTTCGTTCAACTGAATGGCAATCGCAAGGTTATCGGAGTCCTTCGAGGTTACGATGTACGACGCCCTGAATACCCCATACCTAGTCGCAAGTGAAATATATAACTAATGCCGGGATAGGTCTTCATGAATATTGTCCTGGACGACACTGTGGAAGAGAAGAATGGAGGTGAAAAAGTCCCACTAGGCATGGTGGTAAGGAAACATTGCACAAAGCGTACATGAGGGTCATTGTGGAAGCTAAGATTGATCCGTATATAGGTTATCCGTGGAAACTCGGTAGTTATGCTAGAGGTTTGTATTCCCTTGCAACGTAGGGTTCATATAGGGGGGCATATGCTAACATTCCATCTCTCCTAATCAGGCCCTTGAGCGTATCAGTGATCGGTGATAGACTTCCCCCCAACGCTGGACCGCGTTCTGTTCATTTCAATCTTCCCGGAGTATTTATTCGGATTGGGTGGGATAATACTTCAGAATTAATCGGCCATTTTATCCGTTCCGCAAATACCTCGAATCATCTTTTATAGTTCAACGGAGTTTTATGCCAGGCAGGTCAAATATCATGTTTTGAAACGGAAACGATATACAAAAATGGGACAATATGGAATAACTTGTTTTAAAAACGAAGGATGCTTGATTACTAGTATAAGTGTGACACTGCTTAATATAAAATGCAGAAAAAACTAGATCCTCCCATCAAACCAAACTCCGTGCCGTTGAGGTTATTGTTTTGTTGCTTGGTAAAAAAAAAAAGTGAAAACGAATAGTGACAGGGAAATAGAAACCAGCCATAACCCCATTGCGCCCTTTTGTTCATGACATATCCGAGTGTTAAACCAGCCCGCTGTACGGATTCCGAGCGCCGAGAAAGGTGAAATAATCAGTGCGAAAAATAACAGTAAGGCAGAGAGAGTAATTATAGCAGCATACAAAACTCCAAGGTATTATTTATGAACTTGGAGAAAAGTTTGAGCTCTTAGCTTTGAGCTTCAACTTGATCTTCGGCTTAACGGCGGAAGATGGGGGAGGTGGTTGTGGTGACGGGGAGCATAAGGTGCCCAATTTGGGAACCTTGAGTGTAAGTCTATGACTGAGAGGTGGAGCAGTGCCATTGGTATTTTGTTCACGCTTCCTCTTCACGGTAGAAGTAGGCACAGGTGCGGTTGTGGCCTTTGATGTAGTTGTGGTAGTCGTGGTAGTGCTGCCCACTGGGCGGGTGCGGAATCGGTCAGATTTGAAGAATTTCATTTTTCCCTGGAAAAGATGAATGTTAGCAAAGTTCAACAAAGAGTAAGGTTAGGAAATATGGTCGGACTTACGTTTCCTAGGTGCTGTGTTTTCCAGTAGCGAGGATACTTCAGGCGGACCAATGCTTGCTCAACAGGACGGTACAAGGCACCAAAAGCATAGACGAAATCACATAGCTCTACGAGACTCGCTCGTGGTGAGTTACATGCTGCCCATAGTGCCTCCTTTAGGGTTTTATTTGAACCAAGTTCTTGTTTCAAGGCATCTAGAGCTCCAGGAACCGTTTGCCTTCTAGCCAACTGGACTTGTCGAGCTTCGGTTGACGATTCTTGCTCAATAACAAGCGAGCTACTTTCCAAGGAGCCAGAAGTCTCTGATTCCGTGCCAAATGCAATACTTGCGAGGGCCTCACCGAACATGCGATAAAGGTTCCTTCGGATCCAAGGTGAGGGGTCCGCTGACATGTTGTATATGTACCATGTTATGAGCTCTGGGTGCTCAAACAATTTGAACTCCAGTAGAATTTCAAAAGCCTTGAGCCTCAGTTCTTCCAGAATTCCAGCACGTGTGTATTGAGCAAACTGGACAATGTCGACATCAAGCATTCTGGCTTTCATAAGTCGTTTCTGGCATTCCAGTGAAGTCCTTGAGAAGATATTTCTGAACGAACCGGCCCATTCGTCGATTCGTCGATATCTGTCAATCTCGGCAATGCAGTCCTTGTCGAGCTGTTCCTCCGCCTGGCGTTCAATTTCTTTGTTAATATCGAAATTGCCATCGTCAGACCTGCTTTCTCTTCGGCCAAGCAATGCGTTGCAGATGGATTTGAGCAGCGTCGATATGTAAAAGCAATCGGAATACTAATAGTTGTAAGTCACACTATACAATATTAACAGTGGAAAGATGTCGTGAGTAATATATACCTCATTGTTGGAGTTGTCGTTGAATTTCAGCTTCTCATAGAGGAATTGCTTTACCCGGATTGGGGTCCTACCATCTTCATCCCGCACTTCTGAAATTGCTTCAATAAGGGCCAACTGCACTGCGTATGAGGATCGGTCTGAAAAGTCATTCGAACGAGCCATAGACGAATTTGGGAGGCAATATAGCTCCTGGAAAGCATTTTCTAGGTGAAAGAGGCCAATCCAGTCAACTTCCTGTTTGGCATGTTTGACCAGTGCCTTCGTAGCTGCTGTCCGAATTCCATGGAAATATCGACGATCTAGTATTGTCCGAACAAAGATACTCGATATCAGGGCATGCTCTCGTTGCGCAGCCATATGTTGTATAGACTAGAAAATATCAGGCCTCATGCACCAGTCAATAAAATCAAGAAAGAAAAGAAAAGCTGTCTTACCTCAAGCTGTGCAACCACATCACGATCTTGCTGCAGCTGGGATAGATACATATATCCCGGCATACCCAGTGACATTTTACATATCCACTCAAAGTCAGCATCCATTCTGATCCATTCGTAGGATTCTTGTCCCATGCGGCTCTCATCTTCTTTGGTCCATTCGACAATCCTCCACTTCTCCATGTCTTCATCTGATTGGAGGACGTCTCCCAGGCAATAAAGCAGCACGTCATCTTGAGTCTCACTGCTAGGATCAATACCGGACATGGCTGCAGCTCGTTCCTTTTGACGCCTATTCCGCTTGAGACGTTTATATTTCGTGTTGTAGGGGATATCAAACTTCGTGATGGCCTCCTTGATTTCAACTATATGCTCGTAAGGGGTTCCATCTGCTTCGTGAATTTGTATGGTCATTGAGCCCGTGAACACATTTTGTACTGTTCCAGCATAGACATTGCGTATCTCTTCCTTTACATCTCTCATAAAGGTAGATCGTTCGAGGTCACGGGCAGTTGCCTGTTCACTCTGGACCTGAGAGATCATCATCTCAACTACAAGCTTCTTCTTGTTGAATCTTTGGCTAGCAGTAAATCGCGGGCAGCCAGCACCATAAACCCACTGGCTGAAGAAGGCATCTAACTTGGTGTGGCCCATGCGTTCACAAAGTTTTTGAAAATGCGCTGACGTGAGTTCGCAGTTTGGAAGGTCACCCATTCGTGCATTTAAGAAGATTCGAGAAATGATGCGAGAGACAGTAGCCTTGCCGCTTGCCTTGGATAATCGGCGTTCAAGGATGTATAAGACAAGTGGTGCTTTTAAAGAGATAAACTCCATTTCGGAGGGGTCAATTTTGAGGATGGCTCCCATATCCCAGAGTGACGGGCGCAAAACATCCAATTCAACCACTCGATCCGCTAACAGTTTTTGTCGGTACCGGTACTCATTGTTTCCGCCGATCTTTTTCATAAATGTGTCTGTGATGTAGTAGGATATACCTGTGATTACCCAGGTGTCGGTAGGATCCTTTGGAATGATGTTGATTCCAACCCATTGGTATGCTAATGAATGGACTATGCATCTTGTCGAATCGTACATCATGTCAATGATGTTCTCTGGGAAGAGTATTCGATCACTACATAGGGTGAAGCCTGCAGCAGGTAGGGTGTCCGCTCGGAGGTCGTCAACAAAACACAGCTTAAAACTAGCAAAAGGGTATGAACCGTAAGTCAGAGATATAAAGTCAACTGCCTTTGCCATCGGCAAACATGTGTTTCTCACTTCGTCTGCCCTTCCAGGGAGACAGAAAGCGTGGACGGGAACTGCATTTGCACCAAGCTGGTCATCTTCATCACTTTCACGGAACTGGGACAAATTGACATATTCAAACGGTCCAAGTGCAAATCCAATCTGCGGAGCGGAAAGTGGTGTATTACAGGAGAAAGATACGGTCTTTTTTGTTTGGTCCTTGGGGTCGAGTATATCATCTGTCAAATCTCCTGAGCATGCAACAACAATATCCAACGCTGCATCCTCGGCAGAAAGTCCTGTCTTCCTTGAGCTATTTGTTCGGCTGCTGGTTCCATTAACGACGCCATTATCGGGCGACTTTGAAAACACGTCCCCTAGCGTCCGTGGGCATCTAATCGATATATCCCATGTGCACCGGGAAGACATGTCATCCACGCATGGAAACAAGCAACAGAACTCTCCCGTATCAGAAGAGTTGGTAGTGAATGCATGGGGGTATCGCAAATCACGGCTCTCGAGGCCAACAAACTGGATCCCATCCCTTGGCTTTTCGATTGTAAATTCGATGACTATTGTTATTGCTGTAAACCTTGGAAGAGAAGCTTCGGCGGCACGATTTCCATCCACAGTATCGTCCGCACCGCCGGTACCGTTGGCGCCGCCTGAAGTGGCCCTTAATGATAGCTGTGTCTGCGCCTCAACCGAAAAGGGGTCTAGCTCTTCTATGCGAACGGATTTCGGGATTGTGATCACCAGCTCTGGCTCGGGGGGTGTTTTCGACAGGGCATCAAGCTTCGCGGAGAGCCTGCGGTGGTACTGAACACCGTAGAGCTGCAGTGCCTCGTAAGGATCGACGTATTTCGACGTAGCAGTCTTCCCGCCAACGGTGATGCGCTTCAGCTGGCCCTGCCGGAAATTCAAGCGGACAAGCTTCAGGTCCTTGTAATCCGGGTGTATGGTGATTTCTGTTTTCCCCTTTATGCTCCGGCTGGTGAAGTCGATATCGAGCTCGACCTTCTGATGGCTGACTGAGTAGCCAAGCCCCGAGGGCGGCGGAGCTCCTTGCATGTCAACCAGCCCAGGCATCGTTTCGTCTCGGCCGCGCGCGCACGCCAGGTATCAGAGGGGGTCGGTTCTCCTAGCGGTCGTTATATAGCGGCAGGACCATATCGCGAAGGGAAGACGGCTGCGAGCAGAGCGGTGTTTGCTGTATGGAAGCGAGTCTGCCCAACCGGGTGCGCAAGTCCAGCACTAGGCATTGGTGAAGGGGGAGCGAGCAAGCTGCGGGTGCCCCAGTTAATATACCCAACACACGCAGCTAGCGCAGGGGCCCATTATCGACAATAAGAGGCAGGCAGAGAACACGCTGGTATTGTCGCGCTGGCGCTCTGCTCCTTTTTATATTCAGCTGCTCGCCGTCGATTCATTCATTCAATATAAAAAAATCGAACTTTCTTCGAGCTTTCGCGATCGAAATGCGCAGAGCCACGCTAGTTCCAAAGCGGCTAGCATGCAACACAGTTCACGTGACGGTCACATGTCCAGTGTTTATCACGTGACATGACTTTTTTGCTCTTTTTTTTATTTTTCTTCTTTTTTCTTCTTTTTTTTCTACCCCACGAAATGAACTTCAACGGTTTTTGCACGTCAATCGAAGAAGAAGAAGAAGAAAGCAAGAAAGGGAAAAAAAGGGCTGGTGACCAGGCAGCGTCTCAGCATGTTTTGAAGATCAGTCTGGGCCCTTCGTTATCATTGCACAGATCGCCAGTTCGTTCTACAATGGATGTGGTCAGGAAACTTGCCGGTACGTCGATGCTCCGCCGTTGGGCGTTTCATTGTTACTGGTGGGAATAAGGTCGTATTGTTAACCTGCGCACACGACAGGATTGGAGGATTCCTTGACGGATGAGACCCTGGCTCCATTGAAGAATTACAAATACTCGAGTGTCGATAAGTCGTATATCTCTCGATATATACTCAAACACTATGTACTGTCGCTCTCTTTCGCCCTTGTCAACACCTTCTTTTACTGTCTCCGAATGGGGCTGATAGGCTTGCTGTATGCCATGTATATAAACCCCGGACTAATCAAATTCTACCTTGTCACCTCTAGTGGAATGCCTTTGTCGAGCTTTTGCCGCTATGGATCGCTCCCAACATGGTCACCCTGCTTGGGTTTGGATTCATTGTTGGGAACGTAGTGCTGCTCGAGATTTACATGCCTGATCTCGTAGGCCCGGTGTGTACACTGAGACCAAGAAAGAAAAGAAAAAAAAGCCCGTTTAGTGGTGAATGTTTCCTGTAACGTGCATTAATTTTGCTAAGAAAATGTCCTCTGGGTATTAGGCCCCCTCATGGGTATACTATAGCTTTGCTATCGGCATCTGGATGTAAGGCAACCTCTTAGATCTGGTTTCACTCTCGGGGTTGGCTATCTTCACACCCACAGATTATTGCTAATGTATTACTGACGAGTCGACTAGGTATTCTACCATGGATAACGTTGATGGTAAACAGGCTCGACGCACCGGCACGTCAAGTCCTCTTGGAGAATTGTTTGAGTAAGGTTATGAGAAACATTATCTCCTGCTACCATGCTGGTAACTTGGAAAGTGGAAAGCTAATGTATCGTGAACGTGAAATAGCCATGGGATTGACTCTTTAAACTGCACATTGGCAAGTTTACTTGAAGTTGCAGCCATGGGTCAAGGGCCGACCAAAATCGGGGCCTTCACCATGCTGATCCCATGTCTACCCATGTTCTTCTCGACTTGGGAGACTTATCATACCCACACTCTCTACCTGGGCTACTTCAATGGCCTACCGAAGGACTGATCATTGCCACTGCGATCATCATTGCAGCAGGCTATTACGGACCAGAGATCTACTCTCGTCCTCTGGCCGACGGTATTGGATACGCAGACTTGATCGGAAACGTCACCTTCCTTGACATCTGGGTCTTTGTCCTTCTCACCTCTTTCTTCACCGCACACTTGCCTGAGTGTGTCTATAACGTGGTCCAGGCACGAAGACGCAACGGGTTGCCGGTGTTGCCCATTTTCCTAGAATGGACTTCTATCATCATCTCAACTATATCGGCTATATCCTGGGTCTATTCCCCGTATTCCTTTATTCTAAAGGATAACCATCTCGTGCTATTCGCAGTTACCCTATGCTTCGTCTTTGGGCGTATGACCACCAAGATCATCCTCGCCCATCTTACAAGACAGCCATTCCCTTACTGGACTGTCCTGATTACCCCCCTTATTGGCGATGCAGTCCTCGTCAACCTCCCTGCGATCGGGCTACCAGCTGTCGGGGCTACGGTGGAACTCTGGTATCTGTGGGGGTACCTCGCCTTCGCCTTTGCTGCATACATGCACTGGGCTTTATACGTTATTGGCCGTATTACGGCGTTCCTGGACATCAACTGTCTGACAATCAAGAAGCGACGCGCATCCTTGAATGGGACTGCCCTTGGTGACGTCACAAACAGTAAGATGCAAGCAGCATTCAACAAGCCTGTTAAGTTGAACTAGAACTCCCCCAGGAAGATCGCGGACGATTTACACTTTATAATACACGATCAAACGTTTTTTAATAATAGAAAGCATGTCATTGCTTGTCTCCCTGTTTTATAAAGCTTCAATGTGCTTTTTGTACATAGATAGAGAAGCTGCCAGCGTTAGAGTCGATGTCAGGGTTATATCAACTATCCAGGACGTCCAATCTTCTTTCAACAAAGATACGTTCACGACTTAAATCATAACGTGTTCTTCTGGTTGCACCACTTCTAAATATAACATCCAATGGGCAAGCTACGTAGCCGGTGCTGCCATGCATTAAACTTAGCATTCCAAGGCCGAGGTAAGGACTTCTGGGCGTTACAAAAGTGTCGGCCAGCTGAAGCATGCATGCGGGGGACAAGTGGTTAGTTAACTAGCTAGCCGACCAAGTCACCAAACAGTTCGTATATAAGCTGCCGTGGCTCGAATCAGTCAAGGACAGCATTCTATACACTAATCTGCAAGTTGCTGTATATGTTATTTGCCATCCCCCTAGAAGTAGCTACTAATAATATGGTCAAATTACCCGAGACCTTTGCCGCGATCCCGCGCCAGGAGTTTCTCCTGGGCCCATCGCCCATCCACCTTCTGCCGCGGATGACCGCAGATCTCGGTGGCCAGGTCAAGATATATGCGAAACGAGACGATGTCAGTTCCGGCCTGGCATACGGCGGCAACAAGACTCGCAAACTAGAGTACCTGGCTGCCGACGCTGTAGGCCAAGGATGCGACACCCTCGTCAGCATCGGCGGCATCCAAAGCAACCATACCCGCCAAGTTGCTGCCGTTGCCGCCCGGATGGGCCTCAAGTGCGGTCTAGTACAGGAGAAATGGGTCGAATGGGCTGACCCGGGCTACGAGAAGGTCGGCAACATCCAGCTTTCCTACCTGATGGGTGCAGACGTGCGGATCGAGAAGATGACCTCATTTGGCATCGAGCACAAGGATACCCTGAAGGCCTTGACGAAGGAATATGAAGCCAAGGGCCAGAAACCCTACTACATACCCGCGGGTGCATCGGATCATCCGCTCGGAGGGCTAGGTTTCGCTCGCTGGGCGTTCGAGGTACGCGAGCAAGAGCAAGAACAGGGCGTGACGTTCGACTATATATTTGTGTGTGCAGTGACGGGGTCTACGATGGCCGGCATCGTGGCGGGCTTCAAGTTGATCGAGAAGCTTTATCCCGATGAGCCCAGGAAGAAGATCATTGGGATTGACGGATCTGCGACTCCGGAGAAGACTCGGGCCCAGGTGCTGCGAATTGCCAGGGGCACTGCTGAGAAGATCGGGTTAAAGGCGGATGACATCACGGAGGCAGATGTAGTGCTCGATGAGAGGTACCATGCTGGGACGTACGGGGTCCCCGACAAGCAGACGTGGGAGGCGATTGAGTATGGGGCAAAGATGGATGCATTCATTACTGACCCGGTGTATGAAGGGAAGAGCCTTGCTGGTTTGCTGGGGTATGTGAGAAATGGCGAGATCAAGACTGGGAATATCCTGTATGCCCATCTCGGCGGCCAGCTGGCTCTCAATGCGTACTCGCAGCTGGGCCATGTCGAGTAAATCGGTCTTGTGCAAGTTAAATGCAGCGAAACACGGTATATCATGTCTTCTCTATAGACCTAGGTTTCTTGCCAACTTCTGATGGTCCTTCAATTCTCCATCATGCCTGCAAGATATCGACCTCGATTGAGAACAGCTAATCATTGATATCTTCACACATATCAAGAAAAGTATCTATCCTGTCAGAATAGATCTTCAAATGCATAAACTACAGTAGAAGTTCAGCTTTTTACCCCTAAATGACTGAATGACCCCCTATCAACCCCTTTAACTCGCTTATCTAAGCTTAAATTTAGACTACTCACGTGACTGAATGAGGCTCCAACCTTATTTTCACGACACTAAAGGTATTACATAAGCATTGCCTTATCGATAAAAGATAAGAGCTTTTTCTTTTTTCTTACGGTGGATTCTGCTTTGCCTTCGAGCTTTTCTACGCGCTGTATATTTTGACTATTCATTTGGTTACGCTCTGTATATTTTTTCTTGACTGTGTTGATTCCCTGTTTTGCAGCGAGTATCCTACAAGGGAGAACAAGACCGAGATGCGTGGGGTTGCTCGTCGTCCGTGACCAAGGATGGACAAACTCTCAGCGAAGCGGCGACGGGACGATGGCGAGGACGAGGAAGACGACGACTACATGTCGATGTCCTTCGTGGAGGAGCCCCAGACGAAAAGGGAGACCTTTGCGCAGAAGAAGCTCCGGAAGCTGCGAGAGGTAAGGAACAAATGCCAATAGTAACCTACTGGGATGCTAACTTGTTTGGTGTTGATGAGTAAAAAGGCAGAAGAGAGAGCGCGAGTCCCATCAAAGGCCGAACTGGCTGCCGCAGAAGCTGCACGGCGCGAGGCCGCGCTTGCAAAGAGCACGCTCGATGCGTCCAACAAGGGCTTCAAGATGATGGCCAAACTGGGCTACAAACCCGGCAGCGCTCTTGGCAGGCAGAATCCAGGCGGGTCTGAAAGTGACGAGCCGGATCAACGGCTGCGAGAACCCCTGTGGGTATCGGTGAAGGAGAATCGTGGTGGAATAGGACTGGACTCGGAAAAGAAGCGGAAACTGCGTGAGGAGTTTGAGGGAGAGGCCAGACGTGATAAGGCGGTTGAGAGTGACTTTGTGGAACGTGTGAGGGCCGAGAGGGAGGAGAAGAGGCAGGAAGGCCAGTTCCAGGCTGCGCAGAGGGTGATTGAGCGGCTGGAGGAAGATACAGATACAGATACAGATACAGATGGCGGCAGCGGGCCGGCTTCGGGGGATAAAGTTGAAGAGAAAGAGAAAAGCCGGCCCAAGGCTCGGGTGAATGTCCTTTACCGCGGACTGGTACGGGAGCGAGAGGCAGCACTACGAGAGAAACAGGCAGCTCGTCGACGGTATGAGTCGTTGTCTGCACGGGACTGTTCGCAGATATACTCGGAAAAAGACCCGAAGCTGCCGTCCCTGGCGGACGACGAGCTGGAGGCAGACGATAGACTGGCACTGGGTCGCACGGCTGAAGGCGAGGTGGTGGAAGTGGAAGCTGACGAGGACGAGGAGGACGAGGAGCTGGCTGCCTTTGAAGCGCTGAGCGTACAGGAGCGGCTGAGCCGGGCTGTGGCGTATCTGCGCGAGGAGTATAACTATTGCTTCTGGTGCAAGTTCCGGTATGAGTCGACGGGCATGGAGGGCTGTCCGGGGCTGACGGAGGAAGACCACGATTGAGCTCAGGCCCAACAATAATGATGATAAGATAGGGGAGTTATGGATGCTGCAAGCTGCAAGTATCCCTACTGGCGGAATTTCCCCCGAAGGAGGGAGAATAGTATAAATAGAGCAACTCCACCGAAGAATCCATATATTGTATGCATGCAAGGATGCCGTGGGCCTGTCCTATTATCCACTGCCATGCTATCATGCATGTAGGTAATGTCGTGAGACACATCGGCGGCCATAGCACGTCCATATGGCGTATTCATATCAATATTATTCAACATCAGCAATGTCAATATCAACATCCAATGCTAGATAGCTAGAACTTGCTGGATGCAACAGTGCCATGCAACACTCGGCTATAAACTTGCCTTAACTTGCTCTCAAGAAGATCTGGAACCCATCCGGCCGAACGAGAGCTAAATAGATAAGTTACTGAGTGGACAAGCATTGCTAGGCATATCCCTGGGCTCCACCGTGTCACAAGAGCGGCATCCGGACTAACTAGGCAGCGAGAGAAGTGAAAATGAAGGGAGAATTAGATAGGCTAAGTAGAGTAGACTAGACTGTATCCTAGTGATATGTGAGAAGTATATATGCAAATGGTCATTAAGGGGGAATTGAAGAGAAGAAAGAAAGAAAATGAAGAAAATGAAGAAGATCACACCATCATGTAAGTAAAAAGTAGCGAATAAACGAACAAGCCCCCCCCTGCAGCATGAAATTCCATCAAGTAAGAGAAAAATGAAGAAGAAGAGTATCACGAATGGTGAGTTAAGATGAAACATAAGAAAGGCATGGTATCGTATGTCCAGAAGATAAAAAAGGTAGGCGAGTTAAACCGAAAAATATCAACATGGTAGAAATATGCGAACGGATTTAGGCCTGGACCTCTCTTGCAGGTTCGGGAGCAGTGTCATCAACTTCAGGACCAGGACCAGGACCAGGCCCTGGTTCAGTATCGACTGTATCAGCTGAGGTCTCTCCTTTTTCGGTGGTAGTGCCGGCAGCCTCGAGATCCATGACCAGCTTCTCCATGAACTCGATGAGCGATCTGTCCTTGCACCTCTTGATACCGCCGAGACAGTCGGTGCAAATGCGCAGACAGCAGAAGGTGCATCGCCAACGCACTTCCTGGTCTGCCTTGAGACAGGTCATGCAGGTGAGCGGGTACAGAACATTACTTGAGCGCGCAAAGGTCTTGTGGAAATGGTAGCATGAGAAATGCGAGTTTGTAAGTGGCGGCGTATGGTATTCTACTTTCTTGGGCGCAGAGGCAGAAGCAGTAGAGGACGAAGTGGACTGGTTGGAGGTCGAGCAATTGCTTTTCGGCCGGACAGCGGTACTGCTGTTGGTGAAGCAGGGCGGGTGTTCGAGCTCTGAGGCCGAGACGGGGGTGCGCGAGAGAGGCGAGCTGGATGTCGAGGAGGGCTCGCGCGGGCTGGCGTTCTGGTCCGAGTACTGCGAGGAGCCCGCGGAGGAGTAGCTTATGGGTCTGGGGGGAGTAGGGAGCGCAGCCGGGACACTGGCGGGAGGAGATGGCTTTGAGGGCTGGACGTGCTGGAGCCGCGGGCGGTAGTAGCGCTGCGTGGGCGTGCCGGGGGGAGTAGGCAGGCTGCTGAGGTTCTCGCGGCTGCGCACTCTGGTCATGGGCGCAGAGGGATCATGGTGATGGCGCCGGTCTCCTCTTGGACTGTGGCTGCGAGGACTCCTATCTGAGGGCCGCAGGAGGTCGTTTCTTCGGTCTCCAGGGCGCAATTGAGGGTGATGCTGCGGGTGATGCTGCTGGTGATGATGCTGTGGGAAGCGCAGTTTGGTGAACTGGCGGGTATCAAGTTGCTTGGAGGCAGCCTCAGCCGGCAGCTGCACCGTCAGGACAGACACTTCGGAGGCCATCTAATCTCTGTATTTGTAATTGTTGTGTCTTTGATCTCTTGTGGTATGCAGCTGGGAGAAGTAAATTTCCGCCTCCTCTGGTAGGATTGAAGGGCAGAAGTAAAAGACGGCAGCAGTATGGGCGAGTCCAGAGTGTATAGAGTAGGACTGGTGTACTGACTGACTGCCTGCTGTGCGATGCCCAGATGTTCCACGCCGTCCTGCTAGTTATTGGGATCAGCAAATTAAACTGTGCGAGGAGGTAAATAGTAATAAGTATAAGTAGATGCAATATAATGCAAACAAGAAAGGGGGTCCAGGAGCCAGGTCGGGAACAGGGCAGAGACGCAGATATATAGCATGGGCCAGCAGCCATGGTTCACGCACATCCATCCAGGTTGCTACCCAAAGATTAAAAAAAAAAAAAAAAAGGACGAAAAAAAAAAAAGAAAAGAAGAAGATGACTGGCTAGCGGTGAATGCGGAACGAGGGAAAGGATAGAGTATAGTTAGTTAGAAGTCAAGAGTTAGTATTCCGTCGAGGCCAGAGGAGAGGTTCATCTGCGCCATCGAGGCTTTTGCCTGCGGAGTCCCGGATGGAGCTGCATCCAGTGCCGGAGACGAGATCTCAGGGCTCATTCTCGGGGACTCCAGAGAGACTCTCCCTTTCCCCCCTGGTTTTGGGCATATAATAGGGATGGATTAAGGAGGAGGAGGAGGAGGAGTATCCAGTATCATGACGGACATGAAGGGCGCTCTCTGCCAGCCGCCAGGATCCACCGCGCTCCTGGATGCTTCTTCCTAACTTCCGACTCCCTTGCCACAGCCGTGAAGAGCCAGGAAGAGGGCAACCAAGCCAGCAAGGGGAGGCTAGCAGGGAGTGCAGCCACAGACTTAGTCCGTGGTTGGCCTGGAGTACAGGATGGATGCCACTCTTGTCTCGTCATCGCTGCGTGGCTTGACCGGTCTGCCGTCAAACTAACTTATGCCAACTCAATGCCATTGTCCCGTATCTCTATCTCGATTTCAATGCCATTGTACGCCTGCCAGCCAGTTAACTAGTTATTTCCCAGTAGCTATCATTCGGTTCCTGGCTGGCGATGCTCGTACCGTCCGCTCGTAACGCTATCTCGACTGTCAGATCCAGATGAAAAGAAAAGCAGCAAAAGAAGCAACGAAGAGGAAGAAGAAGCAAAAAAAAAGGCCACTAAACGAACTAACTGAAAAGTCAATCTGGGTCAATCGGACTGATCGATTGAGCTAACTTGCTGGAGCTGCGAGTTTGGTTTCGTTTCAGGGGGTTTCTCTCTTCTTCTTCTTCTTCTTCTTCTTCTGCGGACGGCGAAGGCCAGCGAGATGCGCGAGAGACGGTCAAGGTGAAACGCGCTGGTCGAAGTTATTATTTACCGACTGGCTGAGATGCTCGATCGATCACTGTCCACTGCATGAAATAAATAATAATAACACTAACTAGATGGTTGGCAAGGAGTGAAAGTGGTGACTGATGGTCAGGATCAAAACGTCAACTATGGGGGAAAAGTGGATGACAGGCCAATGAAGGAGTCTGCCTGTCCAGGTGCGATCAGGGGTTAAAAAAAAAAAAAAGGAGACGAGGACGACGACGACGACGATGAAGAAGAGGAAGAAGAAGAAGCAAAAAGACGATAGAGTCAGGATGGACCACGTCGGCGGTGCATGCATGCATGGACGGGACAGACAGGTCGAGGGATACGAGTCTTCTCCTGCAAGCGCGGTATCCGGCGTGGATGCATGAATTATTTCTACCATCTTATTGTCATCATTGAAATTGATTGAATTGAGAATAAGACTGCCTGTCTATATGTCGGCTTCTACACCCCCAGCCGGGCCATCATCGCGCTGTCGAGTTGACCTGTACCCTCGCTTTTCTTCGCTGTCTTTCCTGTCTCTTCCGTCGTCTCTGTCTTCTCCTCCTTTTCTCTATCCTGAAGAACCTCCATCTCGGTTCCATGTCCATGTCCTTGTCCTTGTCCATGTTCTTCATTGACATGTCCATTGACATGTTCATCAGCTTGACCTGCTTCATCCTCTTCGTCGCCGTTGATGCTGTGCCCAGCTGAATCTCTAGGCCCTCCCGCAAGTCGTCTCCTCTTCCTCAGCCGGTAGATGCAGAGCCACGCTGCGAGACCCGAGGCCGCGAGACTGGCGATGGTGACACCCCATGCCAGGCCCTGGCTGGCACCCGGGTTGGGATGTTCGTCCTTGTGGAAACCCGGTGCCGGTTCAATTGATGGCGATGGCGATGTCGATGGCGATGCGGGTGATGGAGAGCGTTGGGTTAGTCTGGCCGGGGGGATGGAGAAGGGCGCGGAGAGGAGCAGCGGAGAGCCATCACGCCGGAGCTCGAGGGTGAAGAGGTGAGAAGGTCTGTGGAGGCGCAGGAGCAGAGACGGCAGGGTGATGGTAAGTGGTGTTGAAGTCGAAGTTGATGGTGATGGTGATGATTCTGGTCTTGTTAGTATCCAGTATCAGAATAGTGAAGGGAGAGACTCACGCCAGAGAAGAGACTCAAAGGAAGAAGAGACCAGCCAGAGAGAGTCTTTATCATCTCCGTCTCCATCTTTAATGATCCTTCCATCGAGTCCTCTGACCACCAGCTGGCCTCTATCCCAGTCGACGGTCAAGCCCTGGCAGAGACAGAACCCGGCCAGCAGCAGCCACAGGACAACCTTCATCTCGATTATCTATAGAGAAGAAGAGAAGAAGAGAACAAGATAAGAAGACTCTGAGCATCGTCTTCACTTCTTAACTGCCGGCTTCACCTCGTCTACCGCCGGCCTTTCAACGGTCTGTCGTATTATCTCCATCCTCTTCACCTTTTATCCTCGGTGACCATCTTCCTTCAGCTCGTATTCAACTGGTTCTCTTTTCACTGTAACCTCAAAGCATATCCAGTAGAAGAAGAGTAGAAGAGTAGAAGAGAAGAGACTACTGCCAGTCAACGGCCATGGCAAGGCTTGTCTTCTCCCATGCTTTGACCGTCCACAAGCTGGTATTGCACCAAGCACCAAGCATCAAGCATCCAAGTATCTCATCCATGTCTCTGTCTATGTCTCTCCATCCATGTCTCTGCAGGCCGTAGGGCGTGACTAGCAGTAGAAGAAACGAAGAAGAGAAGAGAAGATGCTCTGTTACTCCTGCTTCCATCACTTCGCTGCCGTCGACCAGCAGGAGCAGCACCAAAGACCAGCCAGAAGCCTTCTTCTCTTATTCTCTTCTTCTCTTCTTCTTTTCTCTCTTCTTCTTATTATTATCCTTTCGTCTTCATCTCTCGTCTCTACCCCAGACTTCAAATCCACTGCAGGGAGGCCCCGGTCTATAGCGAGACATCCTTGTCCGTCACTTGTCATTCTACATCGAGTCAGCCAGAGTAAAGACGATTAACTAGCGAGAGACTGACCTACTAATTAATACTTGTTAGAGTAAAGAACTTGTCCTGTCGACGTCGATGTCTGTAGAAGAAGAAGAAGAGAAGAAGAGAAAAGAAACATCTCCAACTCCGCCTTTTAACGACATCTCGACTTCATCTCACTCTCTTAAGCACATCTCACTCTATAACTACAACTCTCTACATCTACTCCAGTCTCCTCCGATGTCGCTAAGACTCTAGACCAAGACCAAGACTTAGCCTCGCTGGAGCTCCCGCACTCTCACTAACTAACTAGCTAGCTGGTTAGTTCTGTTGGCATCCGGGCCAGAGAAAAAAGTCCTCAGTTACACCGTCTTTGACTCATCTCACAGGCTTTTCTCAACATCTCAACATCTCAGCTCGACTTCAACTTCTTCCCAGCTTCAACTTCTTCTCAACCTCGTCAATTCCTCTCTACTTCGACTACTTTACAGTCTACAGCAAGATGTCCCTCCGCGGCCAGCCCCTGCTCTCATCCCTGCTGCGGCAGCGCTCCACCACCAGCGACAGCTTCGCCAGCATCACCAGCTTCGTGACGGCGACCTCCATACGCTTCAAGTCGACCTTCCCGCCGCCCGCCCTGGCTGCTCGCTGCTCGGCCAGGCACGCCCTCTCCAAGAGCAGCATCAGCCTGGGGAGACTCCCGCTCCAGGCTCAGGCTCAGGCCCAGGCTCCGGCTCTGCCGCTCAATGGATACGCCCTCAGAGCTCACCAGCTGCAGGCAAAGTCGGCCTTTTCCACCGCCAGCTCCTCCAAGCTCGTCGACGTCAAGAAAGTCCTCGTCATCGGCAGCGGAGGGCTCAGCATCGGCCAGGCCGGCGAGTTCGACTACTCTGGTGCGTTACCTCTTATTCTATTTTATTT